TTGTCTCTGTTTAGACGTAGTTTGTTTTTGTTTGCATGTGGCTTGTTTCTGTTTACACGTAGTTTGTTTCTGTTTACACGTGGTTTGTTTTTGTTTACATATGGTTCATTTTCCTGTATGTTTACGCGTAATTTATTTCTGTTTACACGTAGTTTGTCTCTGTTTGGACGTAGTTTGTTTTTGTTTCCATGTGGTTTGCTTCTGTTTACACGTAGTTTGTTTCTGTTTACACGTGGTTTGTTTTTGTTTATATGTGGCTTATGTGGCTATACACGTGGTTTATTTTTATTTACACGTGGTTTGTTTGTTTCCATCTCTGTTTACACGTAGTTTGTACCTTGATGTATTCACATTTTCCATATAGATCATATGTAAAAGATTAGTTTCAAATTTTTTTTCTATCATATTTTAAGGATTAGAAAAATTTTTTCATTGAATTATTTAAATTTCACGAAAAATATCTGTTAATTTTATTTCCAAAAAAACTAAATTAACTGAATAAAATAAGAAATAGCAAGAAAAAAAAACAGCTAAAAAACAATTAATAATTTCAATGTCTTAATTTTTTTTTTTTTTAAAGGAAATACTTGTCAATTATTTTAGACGGAAATAGATGGATTATTGGATAATGAATTAATGATGACATTAGAAGATCTAAGAGATACCGCAATACGACCACATCATTGGTCAGGTGCAAGTAGTAGTCGAGCAAGTACATCCAGTGGTTCGAATGGTTTTACAGTTATAACAAAAATGACAAAAAGACGTGGATCATCACAAATTCGACAGAATAATTTTAATTCGAATTGGAAATTAACTGGATCACCGTATGAAAGTTTCGTTTACATTGATGTAAGCAAAAATTTTACAACTATTTTTGATCAAATTCTTTAATTTTTAATTTTAATCAAAATTTGAATTTTTTTTTCCATCAAATTTTTTTTTCACTTTCATTTCAAATTTATCATTTAAAATTTTATTGCAAAATTTTAAAATTTTATTGCAATTTCATAAATGCAATTTCATAAATATTAAAATTTTATTGCAATTTCATAAATTATTTAATAAAATTTTGTATATTTTTCAGTATTTTTTTCATGAAAAACAATCAACTAAACAAATTTGCTATCCACAAGCTGTACATTCTAAAACCGGTGATCTTCTAAGACTTCGTGATTCTGTACGAGTAAATTCCATTGATGGTGAACCAAATTTTGCATGTATTTGTCGCTTATTCAATGATCCAAAAACAGGTAAGGAAAAATAAAAATTAAAATTAAAATTAAATTTATTAAAAAAAATTAAAAAAAAATTTCATTAAAAAAAACGAAAAAATTCCATTTAAAATTTTTAATGATTTTGAAATTTATAAGCAGTTTGAATAAAAATGGAACAAAAAATTTTTAATTTAAAATTTAACTTACTTATTTCTTACAAATAATAACTAATTGTTTTTTTCTTCTTTTTCATTAGTCAATAAATTTTGTAATTTTATTTTATTCCAATTTTGGTTTTTTTTT